CAGTATAATTGATGGGCAAATGAAAGCATTGTCAACTAATGTGAACCTACAGCAAAAGTCAAGTTTTCATTTACAGATTCTTCTTTCTGGCATTAATAACTTTTTTGACTTCTCTTTATGAGTGGATCTTTGGTATATCTGTGCAGTATGGAATATGTGTAATGAGTATTTTACTGATGAATTGAGGTTAAATCCAATATAATTTAGGGTTATCAAATACTTTCTGTACTTCATTGTATGTTGTCCTATTTTCTCTTATAAAATGATAACATTGATCTCTGTCCTTTTCATCGTGTAGGATTTTACATAGATTAAAAGTTAAAAATAGATTTGTTATAAAACCAAGGTCAAGGTTTCAGATCCCCACACCAGCCAGCTGCCATAAATTAATAAATAAATAAATAGATAGATAGATAGATGGATAGATAAATAGAATAGATTTGAAAGCCATTTACAGCTATATGTTTTCGATTCCATTGAACCCTTTGCAATTAATTTAAATATTTTCAGATTGTTTATCTTAGGTTTTGAGAATTGAGACCCAAGAAATTATTTTTGATAGCTATTTGCAGCCCTATAAACTAGTGTATGAATTTGTATAGGTGTCATGGAGTCCCAAAATAAGTGACTTAATGAAATAGAAGTTTATTTCTCATAAAGGGAGTCCCAGGATTCATGAGATAGCTTTGCTGTACCAGGATATCCAGGGAGTCAGGTCCTTCTGTCTTGTTGATTTTGCCGTCTCTTGGATTTTGTTCTCATCCCAATGGCCTGAGAAGGCTTGAAGCTGGAAGAAGGGACACACATAGTACCTTTGAAGACATGTTCTGGAAGTTTAGTGCATCAATTCTCCTCATGTCCCATTGGCCAGACACACAGTTGTCTGTTCCCTGATGAAAAGTTAAGGAGGGTCTTTACTACAGGGAAGGGTCCTTATTGAGGAACAACTGACAGTCTTTGCCATATCTATTTTTTCCTTAAATCTCATGCTTAGGCTTGATTTATGTTAAATATGTATTATCATATTTTACATTGAGAAAACCTATATTCTTTATGCAAACATTCCATATGTTTTCAAGTCTCTCTGACTCTGCTATTCCGTAATGTCCTTTGCAGTTTCTTGCCTTCCACCCTCACACTCGAGGCCTGATTCAAATGTCATATACCACCTCCTCCGTGAAGAATTCTTTAACTCCTTTGGCTTCAAGTCATCATTTTATCCTTGCCATCCCATTATAACATAATATGTGTGTTCCTTTCTTGAAATATCTAATAAATTCTCAAATTTTCTCTTGTTGTAATAGGACTTTAATTTCCTTAATGATAGAGTTCATGTCTCATTGATCCTTCTCTTCCCCATGGTGCCCTTCATATAATAGACTCATGATATTTTCTGATTGAGTGAACGGAAATTCACATGCTTAGCTTTATTTCTGCTTTTAACATAATGTGTTATCCTGGATAAGTCACTCAGTCGTTTTATGTCTTTCCAGTAAAATAGGAAGAAATTGTAACTCTTTATTTGCATCATATGGCTGTTATAAAGTAATTTTTAAAAACTTAGAAAATATGCTGTCAATTGTAAGGTATTTGATTTATGAGATTTCACTGTTTGCTGCTTTGTTAGAAATTTGGAGAAGTTAATCAAAATTGAATGAAGTCCAGTTTGTATGTTACAGTAGTATTTTGGCACACTGGTTCCCAAACACTTATTATCCATCTAAAATTTCATCAGAACTTAGAAAAGGGATTCTAGTTAGTGTTTTTAATTTAGATTCCATGACAAGATTTAAAGCTACTGTGACTTGATGAAGTGCAGCCTGAGTTATTTTAAATATGACATATGCCAATGACTAATGTTGGGACTCTAGGATAGAGGATTTTCCTGATGTATAATATACCAATAGGTAAACTATTCTTCATTAAATGAGATTTTTTTTGTGGAGGGAGACCTTACTTTGAACTCAGAGAGTGTATTTCTCTAGCTAGCACTCATGCTTAGGCCACTTCAGAGTCAGCCTTTTGAATATATGATACTGATGTAGGATTTTTCTCTGCTTTCCCATCCTCTAAACTTACATGTGTTAAGTAATCTCCTGACATAACTCCTGTTAATGATTGAATTGGCATGTTTTTTGGGGAAAAGGTGTGTCTTAGAGTCCTATGTATTTGTACTGTCATCCAAATTTTGTTTGAAATTCTATTATGAAGCTTTGAATACACAAAATGAAATTTTGGAAAATAGACTTTGGTGAACAAAGCCACTTTGCTGTATCTTAGGAGATCTACATTTATGTTTGTAGGAAATAATTAATTCTTCAGGAAATCTATGCCATTATTTGTGTGCTTCTGTCATTGAGATTCTCACGGTTTAATATTGCTTGGAGTTTTCCATTATGCTGAGTTTTGCTGCCTATTAAACTAAATATCACATAGAATATATATAGTTGTGAGCATAGTGATCTGATTTCCAAGATACTTATAAATTGCATATAACTAATGCCTTAGCCTCTGTTGGTTATTACCATCACCATCAGTGCAATCTTAATACTTATTTATTCTTTAAGATTGTCACTTCCCCTGGAAAATTTCCCCACAGTACTCATGCAGAAACTTGGTTCCTCCATTTGTGTTCCATGGGGTGCTTTTAGTGTATCATTATCATAGTTATTTTGTTACATGTCTTTCTCCCAACTAAACTATGAATTAATTCCAAGATCTGGAAAATTTCCCCACAGTACTCATGCAGAAACTTGGTTCCTCCATTTGTGTTCCATGGGGCGCTTTTAGTGTATCATTATCATAGTTATTTTGTTACATGTCTTTCTCCCAACTAAACTATGAATTAATTCCAAGATAGCTAGTGACAGGCCTTACTCATGTTTGCATATCCTGGATCACAATGGGCATCACAGCATATGTGTATTTGACCAGATGTATATTACAGCAAACCCTGAACAACACGAGTTTGAACTGTGTAGGTCCACTTACATGTGGATTTTTTTCAGTAAGTATGTTGGAAAATTCTTGGCTAGGTATGTCACTGAATATATGAATACATGACATACCTAACTAAACAGTTAAGTAGCCTATTGGCTGTTAGTAGTTATGTAACTGCAACTTAAGTAATGGTGTCCTCTCCCTAACCCCCTGTATGTGCAGGACTCAGAGCATGAAGTGCGGCTTGGGCAGTCAAACGTTATACGTGCATTTCTACTGCATGGCAGGAGGTGGGTGGGAGGTGGCACCCCTAACTCCCATGTTGTTCAAGGGTCAACTGTATTTATAGACATCTTTAGTCAGGAAGGGTTGGTGTGAGCAGATTCTTTTACTTACTGTACTAATGTCAAAACCTCAGGTTATGCCACTAAGTGTCAAAATGTCAAACATAAGAACTTAAAATTTTAGAGGGGAAGAGCACATGTATTGCTGAGCACCAAGTGCACTGGAAGTTTGAACTGAGCAGCAAGTGAACTATTCTTTTCAAAATATTTTCTGAGTTTTTGCCTAAGTGAGTCATTCATTCTTTGCATTATTCTTAGTGAGAGACATGCCATTTATTTTTTTTTTTATGAGAGGTAGTGAAGTTAGTAGAGAGTGTCCAGAAAAACATAAGGAGTATTATGTTTGATATAAATTTCAGGTCCAAATCGGTCTAAAAGGTTTCTGTATATCTGACATCAACAGAATGGACTTGAGAACCAAAGTATGTACCATGTGGGCAGGGGAGGCAGTACGCCAGAAAGACATTTCCAAGCTCTTTTACTTTAGTATAGACTGAATGTAACTAAGAAAGATGGAATGGGGCTGGCCAGTAGAGCAAGTGAAGCGAATGTGAGAAGACAGAATTCTGTTAACTTTAAATGGAATTATAAATGATGAGCTGTTTTATAGCTATGATGATAGCTGTTTTCTTATTGCAAAAGTAATTTAGGGTAAGAACATAGAAAATAATGCTACAGTGATTTAACCCATTTCATTTTATTTTAGACACATTCTGGAAATAGAGGAAATTGGTAAAATTTTATGGTGGGGTTGAAAGTTTTAGTTGTCAGTATTTGTTTGGGTAAAACAGGCAAGCAAAAAAGGTTATAGTTTTCAATCTTATAATAAAGGACTCAAGAAAATAAAAATAGTGAATTCTTTGGTTACACTTTGAATACTCTATGTAATGTCTATCATCTTGTTTCTAAAAAGCATTAAGTAGTGAGAAGGAAAATTGAAATTTTTTTAGTTGGTTTGAATTCATTTTGCATTTTAATGTATAATAGCTCTTGGGGCTCTATTCATCATTTTAAAATTTTTTTCTGACAGAAATCATTCATTCTAAGGTCCATGGCCCGTTTGAATTCATTTTGCATTTTAATGTATAATAGCTCTTGGGGCTCTATTCATCATTTTAAATTTTTTTTCTGACAGAAATCATTCATTCTAAGGTCCATGGCCATGTCTCCATGATACACAAGTGCAGTCAGTCTAGAGCTCTTTGATCAGTAGAGAGTCTGATAATGCAGTCATGGTGATGGTGGTCAGAGTTATGAAAGTGGTGTCCACACACTGGGATTCAGGAGGAGGCAGGGCACATTTGATAATACCAACTAGAGCTTCAAGAGTTAACCTGGCATTGTTATTCCATATCGTTATTCCATTTCCTGAAGAAGCTAAGGCTTTTAAAAAAATATATCAGAATAGTTTGATTCTATTCACCAAGTTTAGAAAATTAGCTGTGGAAACCAATATTGTGTTTTCTCTCTTCCCTTCAGGACAAAGTATGTTCCATTTGGGACCACCTCAACTACCTTACCAGGCAGCACCAGGTCTTCAGATGCTTTAAGTTTACCTCCTACTAATGGGAAGGATCTTTCCCTGAATGTTCATATTTTCACCTTGAGAAGGCAATATATGTAGGATCGGTTAAGCAGCTGTAAATAAATATGACAAAAGTAGAAGAGTGGTTTGTGGGAGTTTTACTATATATACACATATATAATATTTTCCAGTCTGGTTTCAGACCCCGGCATGGCTTGGAGACAGCGTTGGTGTGTATGAAGGATCTTCCTCGAATGAAGGATTTGGGACAACTTTCCATGATGATTATATTAGAGCCTCAGCTGCTTTCGTGTTGGTCATGAGGTGATGCTGAACCGAATGCTTGAACTAGCAGGAGTGGCTGGGATTGCATTGGAGTGGTTCCGTTCATTCCTTCCGGGTAGGTACCAGCTAGTGACGGGTGAAAATGGACATTAAGGGTCTTCCCGTGTGGAAGCCAGTAGCAGTCACTCATTCCCCTGTTCATGTTTAGTGGGCATGAGAGGACAACTGGACACCTGAAGGCCAGGTGGTAGTGAGATTTGAATGACTGGGTAGAAGTTATGAGAGTGATTTCCAGATGGACGCCGCTCACCGTACGTTATTTCTGTTTTGTCAGTGTGACAGTGCAGACTAGAATGGACACTGAGAAAGTGTGCTTTGTTGGAAAGTGAATATTCGGGAGGCTCTGCTGTGCTTTCTGATATCTCTGTCTGAATTACACTTTGTGTAAACTGTGGCCATATTTTGACCACATGTTTATTTAAACATGAAAATCCTATTGCAATTTTAGATAGAAATGTTTTATTTTCCTTTCTGGTATATATCCAGAGCCTTCTTCCCCATGAACATTGACTGCCTTTCCATGATCTTTCTTGCTGAGGTTTTTAGTCTACTTTTTCGTTCTTTCACTTGGGGCTCATTTAAGCAAAATAGCCTGACTGTATTAACAAGTATTCCTGAGGCTGAACATTCCCAGTGAATGTTTTGTTTTATCTTTACTGAAAGCACTTCATTATTCTGACTGTGTTTTACTAAGAATCAAATTGGGTTGTACTTTTAAGGAATTTTGCAGCATAAATACAGCCTCTTCTCCTTAAACTCCTCAAGCATTTTAAGTTTTTATAAGGAGCATGCTAGAGTTTCTTCAATTTTGAACATGTTTGTTAGAAATTCGATGCCTTTTCTTGGTTGTTATTTATTTCTATAATGTGATTTCAATTATTTTCCTTTAGAATAATGAAAAATTTGCTGAGTTTTGAACATGGAGGAAGTTTATTAGGCCTAAGAGTAGAACACAGGTAAAGAACTGAAAAGAAGAAACAGCTGTATGTGTCTGTATATATCATTAGAACTATCTGTTGAATGTCATTTTGGCAAAAGGGCAGAAAACTAACATTTATGCTGTAACTGATCAGTGTCAGGCACTGGGCCAAGAAGTGTCTATTTTTTAGCTTATTTAATCCTCATAGTAACACTGAGAAGTGGATGCTGTTTCTCCATTTTATAGATGAGGAAATTGATGCTGAGAGAAGTTTAGGTATCTTGCCTAACTTTACACAATTATAAGTGGTAGGTCTGGTATTGGATCCTGTGTTTGGCTGTTTCCAAAGCTCAGTCTTTCCATCACAGTGGGCCACAGGCAAACGTTAGACTTGAAGTGGGGGTCCCCAGAGGAAAAAAAAAAAAAGAAAAGGAGAAAAAATGCCTTGCAGGAGGCATGAGCATACTAGGGAAGAAATAAGAGTCATAGGAATGTACTATCATAATGTTTATTTTGAAAACTTCCAGAGTTTTCTTAAAACTAAGTTTGACAAGCCAAGTGACAAAAAGCACAATTTTAGTATCATCAAATTTTTGTCATGTAAGGGCTGAACAGGTTTATATCTTTGTTCTGATATTTGTCCATTCTCTGTGCTGAAAATTATGTAATGATACTTACTCCCACATTGGATCCTAGGAAACTACTGTTAGAATCAGTGCATTTAAGTCAATCAGGTAATTAGTAATTATCCCAGGAAAGACAGCATTTAAAGACAAATACCAGGTGTTTACTGTTTATAAAAGCTTTTTTTAAAAATGTGTCTACAAAACTTTTCTTTGTGGAATCTCAGCTTACCACTGTTTTCACATATAACATGTGTATGTGGTAGAAAACATGAATTTCTGCTTAATGAGGACTTGTCTGGATTTAAGTAAATAGTTATTTCCATCTTTGGATGAAGTATACATTCGTATTAGTTGTTTTCCTTTTTATATTTATATATAGCTGTCTGCCACCATCACAATAGATTTATTTCAGAAATAGCCAGAGAAAATTTTGTTTCTGTGCTTATAAATGACATTTGGCAATAGAAAGGTGCTATATCATATATTAAAGCTGCTACTATTATCCTAACATGATATGTTATTACTATGTTACTAGTGCTTTAGAAAACAACCCCCCCCCCAAAAAAGGAGGTAAAGCTCTTTAATCATAATGATTTTCAATGTCAATGCTATATTTTATCTACTAGCAGCTCATGAAGTAACATTCATAACTGAATTCAGCACCTTAACATTTCCTGACTTAGCTTAAGTGAAATATTGATCTCATGGAATTAGGTGGCAGGTGCATCAAGGAACTATTTCCTGCAAGCTCTAAGTAGCAGTATAAAACCTTGGGGATATTAATTCAAGTAAAATGAATGGATTGGAGTTGTGCTTACTTAAATAAGATGTTTGCCAAATGGCCAGAAGCTGTGATGTCCCAAGTTGTGTTTTTAGAAAGACTGAAAAATGAAGGTAGGCAGAAGTACATTTCTTCTATTGTTACATAAACCTAGTTCTCTATAATTTTCACAACTGTTTAATCAGTTTCCATTTAGTTAGTTGATTAAATGGGGCCCTAGGTTCAAAGTAATTTTTCTTGAACTATTACCTGGCTCACCAGTTCTCTTTCTTTCCACCCAGTGACATTTACATATTGTTCTTCCTTTTCTTTATTGGCGTTTTTCTCTGGAGAGTTTCTGTGTACCTGGTTGGAACATTTATACTGCTGTCAAATAATGTACAGGAAATCTTGTTTTTGTCTAAAGATACACTTTTCCTCATGGGTCATCAAAATGCGCATTTTTTCCTAAGGAAGAGGTTTATTTCTGTAAAACAGAGGTAATACATATATAAGCTATTATAGCATCACTTTTGCAATTTATTAATATGTGTGTATAATTTTATAGTTTTCAAAACCTATTAGCCTGAAACATTATTTATTCTCTTTAAACATTTGCACTGATTTTATTCATCCTGACCTTTATTTTACTGTTTCTTTTTTCCTCTGTATGGAAGAGTATTAATATTGGCTTGGTAGCAAACATAAGGATTTCTGCAACCCCTGCTCCCAACTTACGTCTCTCATGAATCACGTTTCCCTGCGGGTGGAATTAAAACAAGAAATAGGTGCATTAAATTTCTTTTAGGCCTATTGCTGGATCCTTAAGGTGTATTTCAAGTGTCACATAGTAAGTTTGGAGAAAGGAAGAATGCTAAAATTCATTGGTCTTTGTATTTGCACTGCCTTTTCAATATACATTGTTTCCATGAGAGATTTTACCTTGAAATTAGGGCTTTTGTAAAGTGAAGTTTGTTTTTACTTTTTAATTCTATCTGAATTTTACTGATATACTTCACACCATCCTAAATAACTATGATGTTTGAATTTCAAAAACTTGTTATATTTTATGTAGAAAGCTATGCTTTTTTTCCCCCTTAGGAAGCTATGTTTATTAAATATCTTTATGTGGTAACACTTCTCATCAAAGTAGAAGACCACCAGTGAAAAAGTACCTTGAGAATTTAAGTGGACAAAGAAAGAGGAGGAGGAGAGAGGAGAGAGAAAAGCTAAATTAAATTGGCATTTGTGTTGTGGTGTAAATGCTGATCTTAACAGTAGTGGTCAGTTTAGTTATTTTTAGACATTACCTTTATCAAACATTTAGAGGTAAAATTTTTTCCATAGCCAGCAAATTCTGCACTGAATTCTTTTGACATTCTGCTGATCAAGGGATTTCAGATGAGTAGTATCAGAGTCTTTTACAGAGAAGAGGTAGGAGGATGAATCAGAAATGAAGTAATGGAGAAGGGAACTCCACTCCTTTGTTTCTGAACTGTAGAAAGCCATTATAAGTGATAAATTTTTATTGAACATGGAATGTGCTAGTTGTGTTTCATGTTGTGGAAGATACAGACATGATCAAAAATTTATGTATGACAAGTCATACCATTAGAAACAAATTAGGAACAAATTTAAGTCTAACGTTTAAATCCACCTTTGACGGGGAAATAGCATTTCACAGAATCTATAAAATAAAACACAAAGGAAAAGATAGACGTAATTGGATATGCAATATTTCATATGCCTGCTCATGAAAAACAAAATGTTAAGTGACAATCAACTGATGCAGAAAATATTTTTAGTTAATATGCTAGAGTTAATATATAAAGAAATTTTTTAAACAACAAGGAAAAATTAATGGCCTTAGAGCATCATGGTCAAAGGACACGAACAGAGGAGCTCCAGTGCATAAAACTAAGGAATAAACAAATATGTGGATAAGCATTCAGTCTTACTAACAATCATAAAAATGCAAGTGAAAGCAACTCTTGGGGATTGTTTTTTAGTTTACATAAGAAATTAATCAGTCCATGCACTTTACCTTGACTCGAAATAAGGCTTCCTGATTATATGCTACTGGTGAGAGTATAAACCAAAACACCTCATTGAAAAGTCAGTTGGCATCGTTTGCAAAGGGTCATTAAATGACATATTTGTAAATTAATATTGCCACTTCTGTAAACCTACCTGAAAGAAGTATTCTTGGTTATAAGAAAAAGATTATACAAGGGTACTTCAAAAAGTTCATGGGAAGACTCATATTATCTTTCAATTGTATTTTTCCATGAAATTGTTGAAGTACCCTTATATGCACTAAGATATTCACGTCAATGCTATTTTAGTTATAAGCAAAGAACATAGTTTAAGTGTTCACTGGTGATATCAGTGGTTCTCAGTGCATGCTCATTAGAATCATTTTAAAAAAGATTAAAGAAAATACTGATGCCTGGGCCCCATCAGGGGTTTTTATTTTAATAGCTGTAGGGTTGGACCTGAAATTTTTATTTTAAAAAATTTCCCTAAAAATTCTAATATACAGCCAGGTTGAAGACCACTGACTTGAAACAAGTTGATGTAGTATTTTTAACCATTTGATATGATATATATATATATATATATATTTTTTTTTTTATGTGACCGGTAAGGGTATTGCAACCCTTGGCTTGGTGTTGCCCACACCGCGCTCAGCCAGTGAGTGCACCCGCCATCCCTATATAGGATCTGAACCCGCGGCAGGAGTGCCGCTGCGCTCCCAGCACCGCACTCTCCCAAGTGAGCCGCGGGGTCGGCCCTGATATGATATTTATGATGGTTTTGTGGTAGTATGAAAAGGATATAATAAGAAATGAAATACTGTTATTCAACGTTCAAGTTAATTATAACAAAAAAACCAGAAAAATAGGCTAGAAGAAAATGTACAGAATTCTAAGGGTTGATTTAAGGAGTTGGGATTTTGAGTGATTTTTCTCATCTTTTCTTCAATTGTCAGGTGTTTAGTAA